CCTGAATGCTGGGATTATAGGTGTATACCACCACACCCAGTTTAAATTTATTTTTCAACTTTTCATTGACATATGAAAATGGTACATATTTAGGGCATCCAGTTTAATATTTCAATACTTGTATACAACATGTAAGCCCAGATCAGGGGAAATGGTATATCCACTGCCTGAAATATGTATCATTTCTTTGGGAACATTCAAAATCCTCTCTACTAGCTATTTGAAATATAGAATAAAAAAGCAGGATGTGGTGGTGCACACCTGTAATCCCAGCACTTGGGAGGCTGAGGCAGGAGGATTGCCAGCAGTTCCAGGCCAGCCTGGACTACATAGTGAGTCCTGGGCCAGCCTGAACTACAAAGTGAGACCCTGTCTCAACAAAACAAAACAGAGTCCACCAAAAAAAAATGCATATACACTTTGGGAACAGAAAAATTCAAGTAACTATTTTAATACTAAGTTTACTGAGACATCATGAGATTAATACAAGTTACCTTTGGCTTCTACAATTACAAGAGGTCCTCAAAGTGGTGGCCATTCACTTCCAGAAATTTATTAATATGGTGAACTGCTGCTTGAGTAGCCTTGATCAAAGTGTCCATTGATATTACTACACATGCATTTTCAATTTCTTCTCTAAGGGCCAGCAGTGTAGTAGGTTTTCTGAGATATACACTGTCCTGTGGGGTCCCCACAGATAAGGTCTATAAGTATTAAATCAGTAGAATGAGCAGAAAACTCAACTGAAAACTCTTCATCCTAGCCAGTGTCCTTGCAAATTTTCATCCAGATATGTGGGGGCGTTGGCCAGAGGTCTGTGGGATGGATATGCAGAGATAAGAGGCTTCTACAGCCACATGGAATACATAGACATTAAAAGACAGCTACATGGCCACATATCCAAGTAGGAACACAACGCACTACGTTAAGGAATGAATGCTCCAGCCCTCTCCTCCCCAATCTCCAATTTATCACTTAGATTGACCCTAATCAATCATGTAACAGGCTACCCTGACCTTCCGCTGTCCTTCCTGGTTCTATCAATAAAAGGCCACCAAAGCTTCACTTTGGGGCTGTCTTTATGAGGCTCTCTCATGCTGAGGGGTCTCAGTTAAGGACAGTCCCTCTGGGCCTTTTTGGAATTTGAATTGGACACTGTCTCGGAGTAATCTCTCATCCTTTGTACTGTGGCATGGATGATGAACTATGACAGAGATAAGCTTGCACATCTTTACGGTAGCATGGTGGGATGCTGTCTTGTTGAAAGAAAAATTCATCCTTTCCATAAAGTTCACGCATGGCAGGTAAGACAGATAGATGTGCATAACATGTCTAGGTACCTTCAAAGATAAATAGTCTTATTAAACCTCCTGCTGACACTCCACCCCAGACACTGACTTCCAGTAAATCCAATTTTGTTCACATGCACGTTAGGGTTTCTCTAGTGCCCAGTAAACACAACTATGTTGGGCCACGATTCCATTTAGCTTTGTGCTTCGTCAGACCACACAGTCTTCCTCACAAGTCTCATCCTCACCAACCATGTTGAAACCACTCAAAAACTGGATCCTTCAAACAGGATTGTCTTCATTGACTGCACGTAACAATCTTAGGATATAAACTTCCCACTTAGCTGTCTTCACAATGTGCCGTATGCTGTCTTACTCCTGTCTCGTGCACACACTGTGTGCCAGACTTCTGTCATGAACGTGTGAACTGTTCGCCAAGGAAGCAGCACTTGTTGCTGTACAAGGTGGGCCAAATTTTTCCTTTATGCACATCATACACAGCACCATATTTTCCAAACTTATCACGAATCTGTGAAATTGTCAGGCATACTGGAGGTTGTTCCAAACTCACGCCTCCATCATCACTGTGCTTCACCGACATTCTCAAATTTAAATACCACATTAAAATGGCCTTATGTTCTTCAAGAGATAACCATACCTCTGCCAGTTTGTCACTGCTGTTTACATCGCTTGTTGATACTACAGCCGCAAAGGTTAACACCACCACCTGTTGAAAAAAACACCATACTATTTTTTTTCCCCAGAAGTGTGCACACATTTTTGGCGGGCTAGGAATACAACTGCTGTGGGTCAGATACCCTATTGTGCTCCAAAGAGCACTAGCAGTTGCCCCTCTTAAACAACGCAGCCTAGAGTGATGCAGAAAAGAATTTTAAAAATCTGTGGCATCAATTTCTCAAGTAATGAAATTAGCTGCACGACGAAAAGAAATGTGGACAAAGTCGCAGACAGCTTCAAAGTCTAAATTCAAACTTCTGTACTCAACCTTTTTGGGGTCTACTTTTTAAAGTTATAAGATTTTAAGTCAACTATCATGATTTGTAAGACAAAGGTGCACGTATTTGCAATGACTTACTGCCAATCTAAAGAGACACACAGGACTAGCATGATTCTTAAAGACGCTATAGTAAATAAGTAAAGCCATGGCTATTTTAGCTCTCCCACACAGACTGAGCAGTACTTGTGCAGTCCGCGGGGCCCACTTGGCTGGGGAAGGAGGCGCCACACCGGGGACTACTGCGCCCTCGACGCGGCTTCTGCCGGCAGCAGCCCCTTCCTCCCCTGTCCTGGCGCGGAGAATCCTGCTCGCGCTGGGGTACGGAAGGCCCGAGGACCCTAAACCCCGTATCCAGTCTCTCCAGAGTCTTTACCTGGTTACCTCCAATTTGTTGAAGCAAACCCCGCGAGAGTAGGAAATGCCGCGAGAATTGTGTGGAAGGAGGCGTTTAAAAGCCTCTCTGCCCGCCATTCCAGCCTTACGCATGCGTAGAATGTCGCCTCCGGCTTTTTCGGACGGAGGTGGTGCGATCCCCTCTCTTGGCGCGGAGAATCCTGCTCGCGCTGGGGTAAGGAAGGCCCAAGGACCCTAAACCCCGCATCCAGTCTCTCCAGAGTCTCTACCTGATTACCTCCAATTTGTTGAAGCAAACCCCGCGAGAGTAGGAAATACCGCGAGAATTGTGTGGAAGGAGGCGTTTAAAAGCCTCTCTGCCCGCCATTCCAGCCTTGCGCATGCGTAGAATGTCGCCTCCGGCTTTTTCGGACGGAGGTGGTGCGTCTCAGGTTAAGCCGGAAGGGGAGTTAAAGAATGAGGGGAGAAGCCAGTGATTTGCTGCTTCACCTGGGAAACGAGAAGGTTGGGGCCTTAGTCCTGCTCAGGTCCTGCTGTGTGGGCTGCAGGGGAGAAGGAAGATAACCCCCGATAGGACTCCGCTAAAAAGCAAGGCCTCCCAGGGTTCTGGTTTTGCTGAAGGGACAAATTGAAGTCTCGGTGGAGGTTAGGGGGCAGCCGCCGGGAGATGAGGGGAGTTAGTCTAGGGTCGGCTGAGGGGTCGGACTGCAGTTCATTAAGACCTAGTTGCGTCCCTTCAGGGAACCAGGCAGTAATGTCCGCGTAAGAAGATTGCATTATACTAGTTTTTGCATGTAAGTTTGTTTTTGTAAGCTTCATAAGATAAATCTAAATATAGTTTACATATATGTTTTTATCGGACTACTGCTTCTGCCACTTAATATTATAAGGAGTTTATTTTGAATGAGGATATGTATTACCTTATTTTAGAGATATGTAAACCTTTGTCTTATGTATTACCAAGTTATGGAAATGTACTTTTCATTGATTGTGTTAGCTTTCTGTTGCTGTGACAAAATACCTAAGAATTATAATTTAAAGGAGGAAAGGTTTAGTTTGGTTCACAGTATCAGAGGTTTCAGTCCACGGTTGGTTGGTTTCCTTGCTGTAGGCCTGTGGTGAGGCAGAAACATCATGGCAGAAGGGATGGCAGGCAGAATGAAGGGTGGGGCAAAGGACAAGATATTCTTCTTGGCAATGCCCCCGGTGACCTACTTCCAACTAGGCACCACCTTCTGCCACTTCTCAGTAATCTCTTCAATTTTGTTTTTTCTGGGGTTTTGTTTGTTTGTTTGTTTGTTTGTTTGTTTTGAGACAGGGTCTCACTATGTATCTCAACCAGCCCTAGAACTCACTATGTAGCCCAGGCTGTTGAACTCACAGCGATCCTCCTGCCTCAGCCTCCTGAGTGCTGGGATTACAAGGGTGTGCCACCACGCCCGGCATTCTCTTCAATTTTGAACTCAGCAATGGGTTAATCCATTGATGATTTCACAATCCCCATGATCAAATCACTTCCCAGAAGCTCCACTTCTCAACATGGCTGCTGGTATACAATCCTTTGGTGGACATTTCATATCCAAACTTTTGGCACTGGTCACAGTAAAAAGAATTATACATTCTTTACTACAGGTCTCACTGACTTTCTCTCTCTCTCTCTCTCTTTGTCAAATTTATTGAGTCCCTACCATGTGCCAGCACTATTTGAGGATTGGGTAGATAAAAAGATTCACTAGTAGAAAATCATTAACCTGAAACTGTATTTGGTGACCTTAATTGAAATTCTCTCCTAAAGAATGGATAACCATGTGGATAGCTGAATAAGGAGCATTATCCCTCTGAAATGTGGTCATACATCCACCTCCATACACACATTTTAAGCATCATTGTACATATTTATAAGATTGTGAAGTTTTGGCCAGAAGGGACATATCCCAGCAGAACCCATCTGGGTTATAGAACCACATTGTGTACTTGCTTGTATTCTGCTTTGTGCATACTCTGATTTGTATTGAGTTCTAACTGAACATATCTTTGTTTAAGGTCCAGAACTTATGGTGTGAATACACTTCCCCAAACTCCCTTGGCTTTCTTTTAAGGCTCCTGGCAGAGCTGTAAGTAAGGAAAGAGGGCAAACGAGACTTAGTTGCATGTTTTGTTTAATACTGTCTTTAGCTGTGGAAGGCAAGTATGAGTAAAATATAGAGGGAGAGGTAGCAGAGAGACAAAATTGTAGTGGTGTGAGATTACTTGGTGGTGGGGGAAGAATTAAAAATAGGTGAACATCCTTATTGGCACTGTTATTTATAAAAAGAAGAGATTCAGTAATTCTTTCACTTTTTTTTGGTACCAAGGATCGAACTCAGGACCTTGCACTTGCCAGACAGGCAAAGCACCATAAGCTAAATCCCTGGCCCTCTTTCGCCTATAAGAATTGCCTTGAAACTTCTAACTCATTAGAAAGATCTAGATATTGTTGCTTCCCCATATGGTTCTGGTCTAATATATTGATGACACATACAGTGCCCTAATGTTTATGGCATCTGCCATAAACTAGTCATTCTGATGTTTCTTGGCAGGTAGAAGACATAACACCTCCAAAGAAAAGCTTTGCTTCGCAGACCAAGGTTAAATATTTGGAACATGTCATCTTTTAAGCATCTAACCAAAATTAAATCAAAGGCATCTCCCATGTCCTGAATTCGCTCCCCTTTTCGTACCTTTCTGTGTGTGGCCAGGTACCATATACACTAACATCTCTATTTGCTTAAACACAGTTTAAGCATTTAACATTATTACTTCCTGGAAAAACTCATGGTCTACAAAATTTATATTAAAAAGTAACAAGCGTTCTTTAGGAGAGAATTCCAACAAGGTTACCAAATAGATGTATTTGAAAGTTTCTTATATAGCAAAGAAGGTTAGGGCCAAGCTATACAACTTTGTAATCAGAGCAGTAAGCACTAGATAACGGTGTTTTAAAATGTACCCAAGATTTGGTTCAATCAGGTAAAGAAAAACCTGCAGAGACGACAGTGATTGTCGTGAAGGGGTAGGTTTTTGTATTCTCAGATCCATAGAAACGATGGCACAGAGCCTGTGCCATACAGGGGCACCACACCAGGAAGGGTGAGGGTCATTCAATAAATTTAGGAAGCATAATGATCACTGCAGGGAAGCATTATTTAGTTCTGGAAGAAAATGTTTTTTACAGTATGAGTTGTGAAATCAGTTCTGTGAGTCTCGGTTAACTTTTTAAAAACTAAATAAAATATATCGGATTGTTCCATGTAGATCCTTTGGCTGAATTTTGCACATTGTAAAGAATGTTGAGATCCATTGCAGCATATGAGAAAAGTATTCTGATGAAAGGGATATGATAAAATGTATATTGGCTAACATGGTTTTCAATTATTGATGTCACTTAGTTTTCATAATAGCAAAGTTAATTGTGCAGGACAGTTTTGTATTTCTGTGACTTGCAATTAGATACGAAGTCTGAATTATTCACTTGAGAATCCTTTGTAAGCTGGGTACATTTTTGGAGATGTTATCTAGGTCCCCCCTTTTTTGTGTTAGTGGCAGTCATTTTACACTAACTGAATAAACTTATTAAAATCATCATTTCTATGTGAAGAGAAAGGAATAATGAAATGAAATATACAGAAACATGGCCAACTGTTAGATCCGAAAGTGTGAATGTTGACAATATTGAAAAATATTAACTCTAATCTTTCAACATCAACATCATTTGAATCACATTTCAAAAAAATTTAAGTACAGGGTGTTATAATGAAGATTACTTAAACCATGATTTTATCAAATTTGAAAAAGCCTTTGAAAATGATAGACCTCAGTGTGTGATTTGTAATAGTACTCTTGCAATTGAAAGCTTAAAACTTTCAAAATGTAAAAAGACTTGGAAACTCTGCATGCTGAGCTTACTGATAAACATGGAATATTTTCAAAGAAAGAAAAAAAGACAGAGTCATCAGCACAGTTCTTAGTTGTACTAGTATTGTTAGTGAAAAAACCTTACTGTCATCATATTCTGTTGTGTATCATGTGGCAAAGAGGAAGTGTCTCACACAGCTGCTGAAAAAATTATCCTTCCAGCATGTTTGGATATGATGCATAATATTTTGATGCTAAGTCACCTGGTAAGAACTATACCCAGTAATTATATAGTATGTCTTCAAATTTGTACTTATGTGTACTTCAGATTTGCAGAATGTTTAGCAACAATACTCATAACTGGGCTACAGTCTGATATAGATTGTGCAGTCCAGCGCAATGAGAGCACTGATCCTAGAAGCTGCACAAAACCGTTTATGTCAGGTAAACATGGCAGGATGACTGACTGTATGGAAGGTTTTTGGTGTTTTTAAAATTTAACCTCACATCTAAGTGGATTAGATACTATTGGGAAAGTGCATTGTTCATCGGTATAAACTAAACTGGAAAAATTGTAAAGCAATTACACATGATGGAACAGCACACCTAACTGGAAAAATGTAATTAAAAAATTGCTAGAAGTTATTAAAGGTGCTATGTGGAATCACTGTTATATGTTGTGAAGCTTTAGCTTCCAGAGAAACCCACCGACTCTTAGAAATATTGAAAAGTGCAGTAAAAGTTTTTAATTTTACTAAAGAAAGCTCATTGAATAGCCAGCTTCTTGAAACACTTTGTTTAGAATTGAGAAGTAACTATACCTACTTATTATATCACACCAAAGTTCGCTGGTTGTCTCAAAGGAAAATACTAAGTAGGGTTTATGAACTCAGAAATGAGGTTCACATTTTCCTCCTTGAAAGAAAAATCTAATTTAGCCAGTATTTTTAAGGATGATATTTGGGTAATGAGATTGACATATTTAACTGATATTTTTGGCTTTCTAATGGTCTGAGTTTAAAATAGTGCTATATTCCAACATGTGGAACATGTCCAAACATTCTAAAAACTCTTATGGCAAACAAAGCTTAAAAATAATTGATCTAAGCCAGGAGTGATGGTGCACACCTATAATCCCAGCACTTAGGAGGCTAAGGCAGGAGGATCGCTGTGAGTTCGAGACCAGCATGGGCTACATAGTGAGTTCCAGGTCAGTCTCAACTATATAGTGAGACCCTGTCTCAGAAAACAAAAACAAAAAATAAAAATAAAATAAATAATTGGCCTAGCTATTACATGTTTCCAAGGTTTTTGCAACACATTGAATGAATTATTAATGACATTTTGAAAGAAGTAAAATCAGAGATGTTGCTGCATCTCTCACTTCTCTATCTCAAACTTTAAACTTTTTTTCTAAAAGAGAAATTTCAAACATTAAGCAGAAACATTTGGGTAAAAATGGGATGGGAAATAGTGACTGCTCTAACATAATCTGAGTATCAAATTCAGTATAACCACAACTCATTTAGTACTCCAAATTTCCTAATTTTGAATTGGTGGATACCTATTTAAGTATTAGAAAAAAAATCTAATTCTCTAATAATATACTAATTCTCCAAATTAATATTCTGACCATTTCTTTCTTACAACTCACACAAATTAAGTAAAATGCCAATTTTCTTTTTTTATGCCAATTTTCTGAGTAGAGATCACAGACACACACCAAAATATAGTCTTAAACACTTTAATGAATCACAGATACATCCCTTCAAAACTAATGAAATCTATAATGCCCTCCAAAGGCTGCTGTGAAACTCTATTGCAGCTTAAATAATTAAATCTAAACTTCAACATATATTTAGACTTGAAGACTGATTCAGTAACAGAGGTAGTGCCAGGTAGTGAAACAGAACCCTGAGTTGAGAGTTGAGGTATCTGGGTTTCTGAGTCACTGTGGGGTAAATTAAGTCCTCCATTCTTACATGTTTTCTTTGCAGTATATAATTTATAATCATTTTATTTATTTGATTACTGGCTTTGTCATCCTGCCACCCTGGAATGAATGAACCATAAAAACAAAGATCAGCAAGCGTGGTGGATCATGCCTGTAACCCGAGCACTTGGGAGGCTGAGGTAGGAGGGTCACAGAGTTCAAGGCCAGCCTGGGCTACCTGGTGAGTTCCGGGCCTGCCTGAACTACACAGTGAGACCCTGTCTCAAAAAATAAACCCAAAACAACCCAGTCTTAATTGGGACTCCTTTCCTGAGGCGCAACCCACTGTGTGCAAGGTTAACATCTGACCCTTACATGCCATGGGGGCAGCGCATGGGGGAACTGACACTGTGCTGCTCACTGCCATTTTTGCTGTGATTAATAAATTGCGTACGATCCAGTGGTTTTGAGTCCATGCATATATGTTGTTTCGACAGAATCTCACAATTTCTTATATTCGCAGGTCTCAAGGATTAGGATGTAGACATGGGGGCGTGTGTTATTCAGCCTGTCATGGTCAACCCTCTGGCTCCCCAAGACAGTCACCCCACAGGATAAATGAATTCACTCATTCTAAGGTCCCCAAAAGTTATCAACCCATTATAGCATCAACCTGTCTCAAATCTCGCCTCAGTCTCATCAGTTCAAAAGACAAAACTCATATATAAATCATGTAGATCAGATGGGGGTTTAGTTCTCTGTATAATCCATTTTGGAGCAAGATTTTATTTTTTTTTATTTTTTTACTTTTTTGGTACTGGGAGTTGAACTCGAGTCCTTGTGCTTGCAAGGCAGGCCACCGAACCGCTGAGCTAAATCCCCGGTCCATTGGAGCAAGATTTTTTTACCTGTGGCTATGGGAGACTACAAATCAGTCCTGAGCTCTGAAACAGTGGAATGGCCATAGGGTAACAATAGAAATTCTCATTCAAGAGGAGAAAATGAAAACAAAAAAGAGTCACCAAATAGTCACTCAAAGTCCAACTGGGTGAACTTCACTGTTCAAAACCTGGGAATGAGTATTGTGGTTTCTGTTTGCTCTTTGCAGCCCTAGCTCCCACCCATCCTGTTTTCAACAACAGTAGCACACGTCTGATTGCATCAGCTTCCTTCCTGCCAGTAAAAATTCAGTAACCTGACAGCCTTTCATTTCATCCTCACTGTTTCTTAATACAAGTCTTAGGTCCTGGTGAGTAACGGATTCGCTCTGTCGGAGGAGTACCTCCCCTGTAGATCTTTCCTCAATAATCCCAGCTATTTTTGGCTTCTCCTGAGATGACTCAAGACACCCATGAGTTTCACACCCTCCCCCAGAACCCCCTGTGTGATCGAATGCCTTCGCTTTTTAAACTTCCCAAGCACTAGCAAAAAGCTGTCCGTGCTTAAAAGTTTAACATGATAAACTTTGCTGTTTAACCACAGTTTAAATCTTTTATAAAAACAAATTTTTAAAAAGGATGTCCAAGGCCGGGGATCTAGCTCAGTGGTTCCAGTGCCTGCTTCGCAAGCGCAAGGACCCGAGTTTTATCCCTGGCAAAAAAAACAAAACAAGGATATCCAGCCACATCACTGGCTTCCTCTCATGAGCACGTGTTCTTCACTGTGGCTCTCTTAACTTTAGCATCTTTTGCAAACAGAACAGACACTCTTGGTTTAATGACTTACCTATTTAATGACTTCTGAATTACAGCTCAGTGCTAACTTACAACCTGCCTTTTTTTCCCTACAGTTCTACACATCTTATTGGTGGAGCCTCAGTGTCTTTTTTTTGTACAGTATACTTTTTTTATACAGTGCTGTGATTTTTGCTGATTATACTGTACAGTACTGCTATACATTACATAATCTGCATGTGAGATTATGCACACTTGGGAGACTGAGGCAGGAGGACCACTGAGTTTGAGGCCAGCCTGGACTATGTAGTGAGTTCAAGGCCTACAGAGGGAGATCTTGTCTAAAAAAAAATCAAACAAAAACAAACCCCCACAAAAAGAGTCATGCAAATAACAGCAAAGTCATCAAGTTGGAGATTCTTTTGTCCGTTTCTTTGTTCTAAATAGTGTGCTGTGCACAGTATACAGAATTTTTCATTTAACGACTGAGCCGTGGGAATAGAACTCAGGTGTTAAACCAGGAGTGTCTGTACTCAGAATTTCCCAAATCATCCAATCCTGGTTCCATTTCTAACTCTTCGTTCAATTTTTCTTTCCCTTTTACATTCTACCAGAGGCAACAGAAACTATGTCACTCTTTGAACGTTTTGTTTGAAAATCTCAATAAAGTGCAAAGATTACTTCAGCTTTCTAAGTAACTAGCACAGATAGAGCACCAGGAGCCGGGAAATTCACTCCGCTCCACCCACTGAACTCCGGCACCACCCCAGGAGCATCTATAGAATCCCAGGCCAAAGCAAGCATGGCCCCTTTTCTTTCTCCCTTGTTCTTGAGCTCCAAATCCTGATTTATTTGGCCATCTTGGCCTCTCCGTCAGGCCTGGCACCCTGCACCTTCTCTATTCTCAGGAAGGCCCACGGTGCAGCCCCGGGCACTGGGTGCCCCCTTCAGCTTCCTCTTTGCCTCGCTGTGTCCTTCAGTGTCTTCTCTCAGTGTCTCTTTCCCTTTCTCCACGGTGCCTTCTGTCCCTCAGTGTACCCTACCTTGGGCCCCTCCCCACTGTCCAGTGCCTCCTGGCCCCTTTGGGTCTCTCTCGGACTTCTGGGCGACCGTCCCTCAGCCCCAGCCTGAGTCCCTCAGGTCCTGCTCTTGGCTGTCGGTGGAGCTTGGTCTCCCTCATCTCAGCCCTAGGAGGGGGAAATGTCTTCCCTCCACGTTCTGCCCAGTACTCAACCTTGCTGAACTCAAAAGAAAGATTTGCCCACTAAGAAGTGAGGGCCAAGGAATGGGGGGTCTTCATGTGTTTCTCTTTGTGGGTAAAATTGGGAATTATCCATGCGGTAGACAGTCTTTTCTTTCTTCTGTGCTTTTCAGTTCTCAGCTTTGTCCATTACTCTTTTGCTATCTGGGCTTTTCCTTTGCAATGCAGAAGTTTTTGGACCAAGAACACGATAGGATTGTGTGGCAAATGACCCACATTTTCCGGGATTTCTCTTTAGCCTTTGCCTCTGGGAATTTCTGTGGAGGTTTTGCTTCTTTTTGAAAAGGATGCCAAACATTTTAATCAATTTTGGCCAGTTCGTTCTGGCATTAAATACATCCCTGACCCCTCAAGCCACCGGAAGTACCTTCGAGACTGTCCCTTTGTGTGGTCCGAGCTCCGGAAGGTACAGTCATCTCGCAGGGGGCCCACTGCGAATGCGTTAACCCTGATACCCTAAACTGATCGTTTCTAGGCTATTGCATGTATTCCTAAGTGAGACTGACCGAGAATTGTCACGAGCAGGAGTGTGCACGACCTGGAGGTTGAGACAGTAGTAGTTGCCAACTAGATTTTTTTATATATTATATATGTCACACATCAAACATGTTAATTCATACCCGCCAGTTGCCACTCTCTGTACCTGCACAAGTCCGAGGAGCGCGACTTTGTTGTCCTTTCCTGGTGATTGCGGTGTTCCATCCGGTTGGCTCCGCGTTGATCCGGGGGTCCACTCCGGGCAGGCGTCTGATGTCTCGTCCGGCAGATTGTCGGGCTGTCTCGGGCGTCCGAGTGGGACGAGCTGGTCTTCTTCGTTCTCTCTTTTAGACCATCCTAACTGGGGGGCTGTGGCACTGGTTCGGGTTTTATCACTTCACACATATTGGGGCTGCACACGTCACAGGGTTTCACACGTTGAATTTAGATAACAGGGTTACACGCGTCATAGGGTGATCTGTTGGGTTAGATGTCACTCTCACTCTTGGGGGATCACATATCAGGTTTTCCACATTGTCACTCTTGGTGGGTTTCACTCTCCACTCTTGGGAACACTCTGACATGGTACTCTGTTTGGGAGGCATTATGTTGTCTGCATCCTATACATTGACATGTGCTCTCTACAAGAATTTACTACCTGATCTGAGTTTTCTGAGCTTTAAAACGAGGATAATTAAAAGCCTCACTGAGAGATGTGAACCGAAATGAATAAGTCGAGTGCTTGGCACATAGTAACAACTCAATAAATATTAGCTTTTGTGGTTACCTGGGGGGGGCGGGGAAACCTACTCGTGATTAGCCCTGGAAAAAGAAGGCGTCTTCAACATTGCTACAGTTTGGAACCAGGAAAAAAAAAAAAACAACAAAACTTTCTTTGGAGGATGGAAATTCTCTCACCTGTCTGCCAACCTCGAGTCTTCTTTTTTTTGTTTGTTTTTTTTGGGGGGGGTGTTTTTTGAGACAGGGTCTCACTATATAGTTGAGACTGATCTGGAACTCATTATGTAGCCTAGGCTGGTCTCGAACTCGAAGCGATCATCCTGCCTCAGCCTCCATGAGTGCTGGGATTACAGGCGTGCACCACCGCACCCGGCTCTTCGAGTCTTCTTTTTGGCGTCATGTTCCAGGATTCCATGCAAAAGCGACCGTCCCGCAGAGGGTTGTTCCTCACTGTGTTGCTCCTCACGTGCAGCCGAGGAGGGGAAGCCAGAGAGGGTTGCGTTTTGCAGGAGAGCGGCGCCTGGAGTCAGGGCCTGGGAGCCGCCCTCGGCCGGAAGGGGCAGGGCGCCCAGGTCCACGGTCCCCAGACCCGGGGATCAGAATCCTCCCCATGGCGGCGCTGGGACGCGC